GGACCGCAGAAGATACCTCTTGGGTTCTGGTGGGTTGATGAGAAGAAGACAAAGTTTAATGTTTAATCAGTGGTTCTAACCATAGGATGGACTGGAGCGGGGAGAGACTTGAGGACAGGAAGATGAATCCGAAAGCTATTTCAATGGTCCAGTGAGAGGAGATGACAGGCTGAGCTAGAGTTTCAGTTATATGAGTAGAAAGAAGACCTATAGGAAAAACGTCATGAAGGTAGAAGCAACAAAATTTGGCAATAGATTGGTTATATGAGGTGAGCCTGAGGGATCGAGAATGACAGTGAGGCTTTGAGAGTAGACATTTAAAAAGATGGTAGTGCCCTCTATAAAACAGGAAGAGAAGAGATTTGGACAGAAAGATGCTGAGGGCCATTCTGGGGAAGTCCAGTTTGAGATGCTAGTGGGGCATCCACTAAGGTTGACTAAGGTGGCAGTTGGACGTGGACCTGGAGCTCAGGAAGAGAGGCTTGCGCTGTATGTGTAGATCTGGAAGTTACTAGCTTAGAAATGGTCATTGTACCCCCAGGAACCAAGTCGTATCTAGACTCCTTCTGTTGTATCTTAAGATAAGTTCATAAATTCATTAAATTACAGTTTCCTTCACATCTGTCCCAAGTGGCAGCTAGGTGGTGTAGTGGATAGAGCATCAGCCTGGTGTAGGGAAGATCTGAGCTCAAATCCAGTCTTAGATACTTACTTAGCTGTGTGACCCTGGGCCAGTCAACCCCTATTTGCCTCAGTTCTTTATCTGTAAAATGGGGACACACTGGAGAAGGAAATAGCAAACCGCTCCAGTATCTTTGCCAAGAAAACTTTGTCCATGGGGGTCACATGGAGTCAGACACAACCAAACAAAAACAAGTTTAACAAGGGTATTTCCCTGATGGGATTTTTTGGAGAAAGTACCATAATCTCATTATTAAGACATTGGCAGCTGAGTTATTCCTAGAGCTGACTAATCTCTACTTTTTGCTAATTTCCATCAGCTTCAGTTTCAGAGCATGACCTTGTCTCAAATTCTAGGGACTTTCTTTGCTTAGAGCTGATTCCACTTTGTACCGACCAGTTACATTTTTCCTAGAATCTTGGAGACAGAAGGGACCTGAGGTACCATTTCTCCAACCTGGGCCCGAACCAGAACCACCTCTTCTGAGTACCAGACAAGTGGCCACCCAACTTTTGCTTGGAGACATCCATGATGGGGAGCTCACTATCTCTCAAAGCAACCCAGGTACCACTTTGGGATAGGATTCATTGTCTGGAAGTGTTTCCTGCCTAATTCGCCTCTTTGTACATTCTACCTGGTGCTTCTAGCAAGTCCAAGCCCTTCAAATACTTGAAGACAGATCTCATGTCCCCAACAAAGTCTCCTATTCTCCAGGCTAACTGCTCCCAGTTCAACTGATCCTCTAATGAAGTGTCCCTTCTTTGGCCAGGTTCTCTTCCTTAGGATGCTCTCCAGTCCATCAATACCCTTCTTGAAATGCAGTGCTGGGAACTAGACATAATACTCTATCTAGATGCAGTCATATCTCTGAGGGAATTTTTCCTCTGGGGAGTCCATTAAATAATTCCAAGTTGGCTTACTGAAATGTTGACTTCTCTCTCAGACCCACACATCTAAAATACCACATTCAATAATGAGAATGAATGCCATTAAAAAATCACATGGCCCCTTAGTGGGAAATGTAACATGTTCATGAAATTCTGAAAACGAAAACAGCCCCAAATCGTGCTGAAATATGAATCAGAAATACAGGTATTTGTTCATTAATTCAACATCCCAACAACAAGTTAACATTTTTTAAAAACCATCTTATTTTGAGTGAAGCAGGGTTTTTATATATTGAATTCATTTCCCAATATGTTGCTCCTTCCTCCCTACCCAGAGAGCCTTCAGGTGTAACAAAGACAACAGAGGCTACACATGCATTATTCCACATCCGCTGTCCCTCCACCTCTGTAGCAAAGTGAGGGAGGTTCAATTTCTCAAATCTTTGCCAAGATCAAGCTTGTTTACTAATACTTATCAGGTGCCTGCCTTGTGCATATCACCCTGCTAGGTACAAAAGTACCTAAAATACACTGGATAAGCCCTTTCTCTCATGGTCTCTTCCTCAAACTACCTTGGCAGGTTTGTGTCTTATCATCTGAGTTATTCTTCTCTAAAGCTAAAGGTCTAGATCAAGAATCCTTTACCTGATGTCTGTGGAGAGATGTCAGAGGGTCTGTGAATTTGGGTGGGGGGAAAAGAACCGATATCTTGATTTTCACTACTCTAACTGAAATTTAGTATTTCCTTCAATTATTTAAAAATACGATTTTGAGGGCAGCTAGGTGGTGCAGTGAATAGAGCTCTGGCCTTGGAGTCAGAAGGACCTGAGTTCAAATCCAGACTCAGACACTTAACACTTACTAGCTGTGTGACCTTGGGCAAGTCACTTAACCCTGACTGCCTCACACAAAAAACAAAATAAAAATAAAAATATGATTTTGAAAAGGGGTCCATACATTTCACCAGGCTTCCAAAAGGGGTCCAGGACACACAAAAAAGGGAAAGAACCCTGGTCTAGATAATTTATTAGCTTAGACTTTGCCTTATATTTTTTTCTTTATAATTGGAGATAGCACAGCAAAGTGAAAACATAAAGTGCTGGACTCAGAGGCAGGAAGACCTGGGTTCAAATTCAGCCTTTGATATTTGCAAGTCACTGAACTGTGGGTCTCAGTTTCTTCACGTGGAAAACGAGGATAACAATAGCACTCGCGTTGATTTAAAAATTAATTAAACCAAGGGATCCACAACCTGGAAATTTAAAAATCTTCCATCTGAGCAGAACCAACCAAGCCCCCCACGCCGTTAACCTCCCAAATGAGAGGGAGGGAAGATTAGCATGTTGTAAAACATCCACCGCAGCTGAGAATAACATCGCGTCTCCACCGGAAGCCCAGAGTGTGACGCCCAGAAGTCACTTCTAAGACACAAATCCAGGACATCTGTGTCATGGTGAATCAACGTTTCCTTTAAGATGTTGACCCCCTATAAATGTGTCCGCTCATCAACTGGTCCATCTTCTTGCTTTTTCTTCCTTCCCCAAGGAGAAAAGGACTCTTCCTAAGGAGCTAATTGTTCAAAGATCCTTCTAATTAAACTCTTTTTTTTTTGTTTAGCATTAGCTAAACAAGGTCACCCTGTCACTAAATTACCCAGGAGGGAACAGGAGGATCACAGTTACCATTGTGCACATGGATGCGACTGAAGCAGGAAGAGGTGAAGCTGTTCCCCCAGTATCACTCAGGTTAGTGAGTGCAGGGCAGGGAAGAGAGGGGACCTGAGCTCAGATGTCCCTCAGGCCCAGACGTCATAGGCTCCTTCCACAGAACCAGGACATCTTCTTTAAGCTGTCCTGCCTTTAGGTGACCAGAGAGCTGTTAGGTTTCTCTCTGATCATCTTGCTGAAATTCAGGTGAATAATTACATATTTCACAAAAGAGTTTCCCTTTCCTGATCCTAACTGGCCAATTTAAAAACAGAATCAAGTAAACACAAAATGCAGCTTTGCTAAACCTCTTCTCTTCAAAGCAACAAGCTGACGGTGCTTGAAATCTGATCAAGTGAGAAGATAACATTGCCATAGTATCTTAAAACTTCAACCCCGTATGTCAACCCACATGAAGAAAGAAAGCTGGATTGGAAATTGAGAACATCTGAGTTTTAATCCCACTTCAAATACTTCTAGCGCCTCAATTTCCTCATCTGTAAAATTAAGACGTTGGGCTGGTCTCCCAGGTTCCTTCCAGCTCCTAAGCTATTTTTTATTTGGAGGAGGAGGAGACTAGATTTATGATTTTATCCAATGTGGGGAGCTCCTAATACGGACACTTCCTTTCCTGATACAGATCACCATCTCATCTCTACAGGCTTAGAGGAGGGTTCTTAACCTGAGGTCCATGAACTTTAAAAAAAAAAACCACAAACCTCCTCAACCATATTCAATATAATTGGTTTCCCTTGTAAACCTATGCATTTTATGCATTAAATCACAGTATTTTAAGAAGGGATTACCCCCATACTACCTAACAACCCCTGTCTTAGAGTCAGTGGCCTTGGGCACTCACTGAGAGGCTCACCAACCTAGTGTCAGACTCAGCACATAAACCCAACACTGTATCCATTAAGCTACAAAGCTACATAGCTTTTCATGCCATGCTTCAGTATTCTGAGGCTGCTGGGTTTTCTGGTGTAGACACACCTTTCACCCTCTGTCACTTAGGAGGTGGTCTTCACATATCTTGCTGGCTGAAAAAAAACATTGCCTTGCTTCCAGACTCAGTTTTCCCTCATTTAGCTTAGCTGATCCCAGGATGATAGACACAGCCCTTCACGAGCCTGTTTTTGAAGTCTTTCCAGCTGGAAGGGCCCTCCGGAGTTTGATCCCTGTCTGTTTGGCCTTAGAGAATGCAGAGCGCTCTCTCTACCAGAATAAGGCAGCAGAGTGGGACTTTAGCAAAGGGTCCCCATTTCCAACTGGATAAAAGACACAATCAAACACCTGCCCCTTATTTTTACACACATTTGTATGTATCAAGAATGGGCAAAGGTAATTTAACACATTGCTGCCCTCAGAAGGGTGAGAGAGACGACATCCACCATGAGAGATTAACTTTTCCTTGAATTTGGACTGAAGATCCAGGTTTGAGTCTTAGCTCTGCTGCCTACGCACTGTGTGACTTTGGACAAGTCTTTGCCTCTCTCTGAGACTCAGTCTCCCCCTTTGTAAAATGAAGGGGTTGACTAACTGATCCCTAAGGTCCTTTCCAGCTCAGATCGATGGTTGTGGAGGCGTCAGAAAAAGCCCAGTCTACCAGGGTGTTCCATCATCCCAGATGCCTCCCCCACAGTTATCAGTTTCAGTTTTTAAAATAAAGACTTGGTGCTGGGCTCCCTGGCCCACAGCTTAGGTGGAAACACACGTGAGCCTTACCTTGGACAAAGGGTTCCAGAAAGAGCAAGAGAGACAGAGCCAGGAGTGTCCTCCGGGTGTGCGTCCATGGATGCTGCATGGTGACCAGCGCCAGCCTCCCTGAGCGTCTCGATTGGGAAATGTAGTGGAGAGCTCTTTGTAGCTGAGAGCAGGTTCTGAATCCTCCACCCCTCCCCAGAAAGAGCCGACGTCACAGTTTCCTGAACTAGTAAAATGACATCCACGTTAAGAAAGAGAGAGAGAGAAGTCAAAGAACAATTTTTGCCCATTATGAAACTGCTCTGAACTCCCCTGGGACACTTATTAGAAAGTCTTGTTGTTTGCGAATTGTTTGCCTGCTGAAAAAATAATTTTTTCCCCCATTCTCAGAGTAGCATTAATGGGAGTTTGTTTACACTTGTTTCAACAATGACCTAGCCTGTTTCCTATTCGGAGAAAGGCAGGGGAACAGTGATGCGCACTGAATGTGGCATCAGAAAGGCAGAACTTGGGATTGGGACATCTGGGTTCAAATCCTAACATCCTAACTCTACTGTTCACTAGCTATGTGACCTCAAGCAAGTCCCTTTATCTCTCTGAGCCTCAGTTTCGTCCTCCATAAAATGAAGGGGTTGGACTAAAGGTCCCTTCCAGATCTAAAGTGTCCAGCCCAAACTGAAAACTCCTAACTCTTGATAAGGTGGGAAAACAGGAGATGTAACATTATCATCACGCATAATAAACACAAAATGAATAGTAAGTACTGAAAAACACTAATTGTGTTGCAATATAAAATTGGCTTCTAGCCGCTCCCCATCGTAGGTTCCCTCCTACCTCCCTGGGGTGCTCCATGTCTGGAATGCATCCCCCCCACCCCTCAGCTTGCTGAATCCTCAGCTTGTTGAATCCTTAGCTGCCTTCAAAGCACAACTCAGGGGCCATCCCCTAGATGAGACTGATTTGGGGCAGGGTCTGTGCTGGTTTTATCTTTGTAGCTCAGGTGCGTGCAATAAGTTCTTGTTGACTTGCATGTGCAAGAGCATTGGGTTGCGAGTTGGAAGAAATGGTATCCAATCCCCACTCTCCTCCTCCCTACCATGGTGACTTTGGCTGAGGCATTGACCCCCTCTAGGCTTAGCTGGAATTCCTAAGCTCCTTAAGACTCTTAAAAATCCTATGAAATTGTGTTCTGACCTATAAGTTGTGAGGCTCTGGACACATTGTTTCTTATCCGGTAGACTCAGTTTCCCCGCTCTGTGTTGCCTCCCATGCATCCACACCAAGGAGTCTAGAAGGCATAATGTGACCACTTTGCTGGATTCACTAGTCAGGCTCTAGTCAAGAACTGTAAGACTCCTGGGAATTCCTTCAGTTCTTCCACCCAAGTTGAAGTTTCTTCTGAACCTGATCCAATCTAAGGTTGGATTCCACCTTCACCCTTGATCAGTTCCTGTTGGTCTGTTCTTCTCACCTAGATGTCCACTTCTTCAGTTGGGGCCTGGAATAAGCAGATGGTCAAGAGCACCCATATTTGAAACCCAGCCCTTTAGCTGATTTGCTATGAGACTACAATTCTTATAGTTGTTGAGTCATAGATAACTCTTTGTGACGCCATTTCTTGGTGAAGATCTTGGAGTGGTTTCCCATTTTCTTCTCTGGTTCATTTTATAGATGAGGAAACTGAGGCAAACAGGGTGAAGTGACTTGCTCAGGGTCACACAGCTAGCAAGCGTCTGAGGCTGGATTTGAACTCAGAAAGATAAGCCTTGCTGACTCCAGGTCCTGCGCCCTATCCACTGCACTACCTATCTGGCCCAGTTACAATTCAACACATTTTTATTGAGGGACTACACTAGGCACTGGGGATTCAGACATAACCAAAATCCCCCCAAAACTGGCACTGCCCCCCGGGAGCTTCCCTTCTACCTCTCCACAAGGTGTAACCAGAGGTGTGAGGAGGGGAAGGCACTCCAACAATGAAAGGCTTCTAGGAAGCTGATGATTCCAAGAGGATTCAGTGAGAAGGGGACCTTTCAGGCACCAAGGACAGTGCATAAAGGGTGACTACTTAGAACCCAGTGGAACTTGCAATCAAGTCTGGAGAGGGTCAGGAGAGAACACCCCCACCACTTCTACAGCACATAACAATAATAGCATTTACATGGTATATTTAAAGTTCATTGTGTATTTTATCTCATTTCATCTTCACAACAAACATCCTCTGAGGTAGGTGCTGGAATCATTGCCATTTACAGATGGGAAAACTTGGCTTTAGAGGTACAAGGTCACACAGCTAGTAAGTGTCTTTGATGAGATTTGAACTCTGGTCTTCCTCACCCCAAGTTCAGCAGTCTCTAGGGATAGATGTCAGAGGCTGTATATTCTAACTCCCTCACAGCTGAAAAATTGTCCCCTAGGGAGGAGAAGGGCTTTGCCCATGGTCACATAGGAAGGAACCACCAGGGTGGTCTTTGACCTTCAGACTCTCTTTGTGACAGGCCTCACTCCACCTATAGGCTGGGCCACTTGGGCCCTTCCCTTCCCCGGGTTGGGCTTTGTGGAGAGTGGAAGGGAGCTGCCTTCCCACATGAGACCCTTTGAGGACAACCTCTGCATCTCGCTCCTGACCTCCTTCTGCTGTTCCCTGACACAAAAACAGGTCAGAATTTTGGGGTGAGCCCATGTGTGCACACATCACTTTCCACTTTCCATTTCTGTGGCCTTTCTAGACCCAGTTTTTTTCTTATTCTTTTTTTGATCAGAGGGAGGAGTTTCCCTTGCCTTGTTTCAGTTTCCCGGCGGAACCCTTGGTCATTTCCTGATCATTGCTAAGTACGTGCCTCAGACTCCAACTACAGAACAGCCAGGGGGAAAAGGGGAGTAGCTTTTGGGGTCTGACTTCTTTAAAACAGGACCAGGCCCCAGGAGAAAGGGCCCTTCAAGTCCCCTTGGTGTGATGGATAGAACATAGATTTGGAGTCAGGAGGACCTGAGTTCAACTCTGACCTCAAATACTTACAAGCTGGGTGACCATGGGTTTCAGGCTGCTTATTGGTAAAATTAGGGGGTTGGGCTCAATGACTTTCAAAGTCTACAATCTAAACTATGATCCCAGAAGTCATTACTGCCAGCAATAGGAGTCCTCACCAGCCCTGGGAGCCCAGAAGAGGATTACAAGGCCTGAAATCCCCTTCATACCTGAAGAGTGCTTCAGTCCAAAATGCCATGCATCGCCCCAGAAACACTTCAAATGCCACTTCCCAGACTGGAGTCCTGGGCAGGAAAATGACTCTCTACCTTGTCCTATCAGTGTTATTGGGTCCTAATATAAACCACGGCACTCCCTTAGAGAGAATGTAATTGTAGGGCCCTTCTCCTAGTGGTATGGTAGACATTTGGAATCAGAAGGACCCAAATTCAACCCCCATCTCTATTTCTTACTACCTGTGTGACCCTAGGCAAATCACTTTCCTTCTCTGATCCCTCATGTGCAAAATGGAGAAAAATAAGTTACATGACCTACCACACAGAGTTATGAGAACAGTGTTTTGTAAATTGTAAAGTCTACCTAACTGTAACCTTTTTATTTCTGATTCATTCACTAACATAGTATGTAACCTCCATCATACTCACTTTACTTTCCTCCACTATAAAATAGGTGTACTCTTTCCTCATCTTTCCCCCAAACCATTACAGAAGTGGGAATCAGTGAAATGTAAAGATAAACATAAAGTCTTACACTTGGATCCAAAAAATAAACTTCACAGGTCCCAGATGGTGGAGGCATGGATAGACATCAGTTTGTGGGGAAAAGATCTGGGAGTTTTAGGGACCTGTTAGCTCAATATGAAATAACTGTATAATATGGCAGCCAAGAAAGCTGACACTGTATGTATGTGGCGGCCAAGAAAGCTGACACCATCTTAGGCTGCATTGAGAGGCATGATTGTCCAGAGCTCAGCCCTGGTTTCACGGTATTCTGCCCTGGTCTGACCGCAACATGACAATTATACTCAGTCTTGTAAGACACACTTTAGCAAGTACTCTGATGAGCCAGAAAGCTTCCAGAAGGGGGAGACTAGAGGGGGGAAGGGTCTTGTGATCCTGTTTAAGACTCAAGAAGGAGCTTAGGAAGTTTAGCTTGAAGACCCAGAGGGGAATGTGAGAGCTGTCTTCCAGTGTTTAAGCATATGACCTAGAAATGGGATTGGTTTATTCTGCATGGCCCCAGAGGGCAGAATTAGATACACTGAATGGAAATACAAAGAGATAAACTGAGGTTTCATGTAAGGATAAATTACCAAACAACCAGAGCTCCCCCAAAGCACAACAGGCTGTCTTGAGAGGCAGAGGGCTCCTGCTCACTGGCAGCCTTTAAACAAATCTTCCTAACCACATGTTACGGCTCTATTAGAAGGGTTCTTGGTCATTCTGAAGCACCTCCCAACTCTGAAACTGAGTTTTTGGTTTAGAACAAAGGGAGCTCCTGACAGAAGGGCTATAAAGTACGGGTGACTATTGGAGGAGAACTGGGGGTAATAGCTTTAGAGCCCAGGCCCAACCCCTTGTTTAACAGATGAGGAAACTCAAGTTGAGGGAAGGGAAATGATGTCAGGTCGCAAATCAAGGATCAGAGATGTCGACCTGGAAGGGACCTCTGAGGTCATAGGTTCCAACCCCTTCATTTTTCACAGCAGGAAACCCAGGGACAGGAGGTGACTTGCCCAAGGTCACACAGCAAGGGGGCAGAGCCTGATTCCAGCTCTATCACTCTTCTTCAAGATGTCACCCCGCCTTCTGGCCCTTTAAGAAAGCAATGAGCTATTGGGATAAGAGCTTGGGCCCTTTCCAAACTTACATTTCAGAACAGAATGTTTGTTTTGACAGCCCGATGCTTTCAGAAACAGAAGCAAGAACAGCCCCACTGAGGGGCCGGCAGCCTGTCCTCCACACGTGAATCTCTAAAGGTATGAGTTAAAGACAGACCGCCCCCACCCTTCAGGGCAACTTCAGGAGAACTGGGAAGAAGGTGGAGCCAGCGGACATCGGAGGCTGCACGAAAGGGTGAGGAACGGCAAAGGCCCGAATGACAGGCTCAGGATCTGCAGTGAGGGGCAGCTGGAGACAATGGGCCACAATGAGCAGGATGACTCATACCAGCGAGGTCCTCCTGGAGTCCTCAGAA